AAGTTCACTAGAGTTTTGAATCTCGTGTGATATAATGTCCGAGATGTACCCATTGTATAATTAGGGACGAGACACCAAGAAATCAATGACTTTTTCGTCTTACGCTCAGAGCTTACTCGCCTCGGATGCCCGCAAGTTTCTGCAAATCTTTTGAAGTCATTCAACTGTAATTTCATTTCATTTCATTTTTGTAAATTTGATTGTAGGAGATGAAATCATAAGTTCATAGCTCATTACTATGTAATCGAAATTCATATTAATAACAAATGCCATCTAGTGACCAAACCTAAGCCAAAAGAAGAAAGACAACCAAAACGATTTACCTTCCTTATCCCATATCTGCAGAGGCTTACTCCTGAAATATGAAAATAACCCACAGTATAAACACTAAAATCAAAATTACCATAAAAAAGCTCCATGCGCAAACCAATTTAAGCGAGAAAACTGATGCCGTGTGTAACAATAAATTTGGAGCGAAACTCATACCCGAGGCTATAGAGAATTGAGAGAAACCCAGACTGGAATGTATTCTTAAACATCTGTTAAGAAAAGAAAACAAAGGAAACCACACAAGAAAACAATTTGAGTCAGCCAGTTCTTATTGAAACAAAAAGCATCTAATGGAAAGATGGGTTCAGCTGACAGTTCACGTAAGCCCTTGGAAACGAACAACAAAAGATTGTTAGCTAATCCACACTTCATTCATGTATTAATGGGCATGTTTCATATTTCATTGTATTTCAATATCCAATTTGTCCACAAGAAAAAGAAGTACTATTAGTTTGCCTATATATTCCATGATTCCGTCTATCTATTTATCTGTTACCGGTCATGGAGTAGTAAGTCGAACTCAGGGTTGGCAATGGAGTAGCATAATTGACCTGTCCGCAGCCCAGCCCGCCTACAGACTGTAGGCTCCTTAATTCTTCTTTTTTATTATGACTATCTCAGGCCTCACAACCTCAACGAACACTACTCAAAGGTGGGGAAGGAAATCAAGCCGACACAATCCAAACAATTAAACAAAATCTCGAATTCAGCTGAAACCCAATACTCTTTATAGCCTAAATTACCTTCGTTCGCTGCCTTTGAGTTCTTCTTTAAACCAAATCACCTCCGCTCGCCGTTGATAACCCCGCAAATCATGTCCCCGCTGCCGCACAAGTGTGTTGTTTGTGAGATTGTTTGTGGTAGTGTGCAGGATGTGGGACAGTTTGTTTAAAGGGGATGATGGTAAAGCCTTTAAATTATTTAAATGACCACTTGAAATTCTTTTTTGTTTAAATAACCTATCCATTAAATTAAATAAAGATAAATTAAAAACTAAAATACATAAAATAACCTTGGATAACAAATGACTATAATACACTCTTCTATTTTATGTTACCAACTATGTAAAAAAAAAAAAAAAAGAATTGATCGATTGAGATCGTCCGTCTCTCTATCTCTGCTCGTCTCATCACTCTCGCTCTACACCTCTCTCTCTCGTTCCATTCTCTCTTCTCTTGAAAATGTGAGAACAAAATATGATCATTATACATAAACTTTGGATTCCATATTCCAAAATAAATGTGGTGATGGTGGAAGATCAACAATTAATGAATGTTAGAATTTGTTGTTATTTTAGAGATAAAGCATTTTTGTTCATAATTTATGATTGATAAACATGTTCGGTTTCGTATTTATCATGTTTTTGTGGCATTGAGGTTTTTTTTTTTTACTTTTTTGTACATAACGAATGTACAGTCGTTATGTAGTTTCATAACGATTTTATTACATTCATTATCTGAAGAATATCTCATAACGAATGTAGATTTGTTATCTAATTATTTCATAGCAAATGTAGATCTGTTATTTGATGTTTATTTCATAACGAATGTAATTTCGTTATGATATATCCCATTGTTTTTAATTATGACATATCCTAATGTAGTTTCGTTATGACATAACGAATGTGTTGATAAACGGTTTGTAACAACGGTATTAACTTAGTTAAGTGAGGCAATTTGAAGGAAAATGACGTCGATTTTATATTTGAGCGTCGGTTTATTGATAAGATTTTTGGATAAATGCAGAGTACATTTGAATAGTCAAAAAAAGTCTCTTTTCTCTTGTCGGGAGTGAATTCCGCTATTTATAGAGCTGTGGCCCTGTGTACGATGTAGGTGTGAGTTCATTTAATGTAGAGTCAATAGTCAAGGCGGCTGCTTTGTTACTTGGCCGACAGTCATGATTACGAGCTGACTTGGCACTGCCTCAGGATGTCGGTATTTTTCCTCGGATGGCGTCGGTTGTCGAAGCTCTGGGCCGAGGGGATGTCGGTTGAGCTGATGATGGTTAACACTATCTGGGATAATTGCTCAGGGTCGACGTCGGTTTCTTACTCCCGCGCATCCGACGTGGGTACACTTTATTGAGGGTAGTCACCACTGAGGCACCAGTTTCTTTAACTTTGAGTGATTATAATCATAGTCGTATGCTAATCCAGTTTTCAAACAATGATGTCAACAATGTGTCCCCCAGCATTGGCGGATATTCAGAAAAGAATGTGCGTTAATGCTGCAAAATCCTACCAATACTTGGGTTTGTCTCCCATTTCACGAATGTCGGTTTTCTCGTTGTTCAGTGACCGACGTATGAACACTTTGTCGAAATGAAGCGTGAGTTGAAAAGGTGCAACTCCTTTTTTTTTAATGTAACTGCAGCTGACTAGGCAACGGATAAAAAGTAATAGCCCACGTAGCCATTAATAATTGGCGATTGTCTCGAAAAATGCATCGAATCACGAAACGGGGGCGTAACGGTCACGCGTCCCTCTTTGATGATAACGGTCACATTTTAGGGCAAACTATAAATAACTTCGCGCTGTTTGGAAGTAACACTACCTTGAAATCTCGACGCAATTTCGCTTATCGAATCTGTCTCAAACCTTTGTGATTCTTAATTAATTACTCCGCAGCTACTCTCATCGATTTTTTAAGATCTGTTCCCCTTCGTTTCTGGGTAAGAATTTGCACCTTTCTTTTCATTTTTGTGTTTTGATTTGTCCCGGATTTCTTTTATTTCTTTAAATATGAGTCTGTCGTGGGCACCATCAAGTGACATCGAGGACGAGGTAATGATGATAAATATGGTACACTCCAGCCAGATGGAACTACTCGACGAATATTATCGTTGGGACCCGATTTTGGTCGAGCATCTGGACATTAAGCTCAATGATACGGAGGGCGATATAAAAGTAGAGGCGAATGCCGTCGAGCAGTCGGATTTTTGGAAACGACCTATTCGGAGATGGCCGGATCCTGCAGTGGATTTCCACGGGGAGCCTAGCATATTAACAGATGCCGACGTGGTGATGTTAAGAAGGGATGTTAGGGTTCCGCCGTCGGGTAGACTATTTGCCCCATACCCCGGGGAGAGGATCACATGTCCCCCTCCGGGTTGTGTGAGCGTATTTGCTGAGAGCCTTAGGTCGAGATTGCGATTTCTGCTTCCCCGGTTAATTACGGAATATTCACGGAGTTGGGAGTTGAGCTTGTGCCTAATCGCTCCGAATAGCTGGAAGCGAGTCATAGGATTGTTGGTTCTTTTCGCCAAAAAGAAATGGGATTTTCCTTCGGCGAGGGACATGAGGAGCATGTTCACTTTTCGAAAAAGTCCAGATAGACAAGTATCAGATCCACTCATCACCTTTTCTATTGCTGGAAAACCACAATTGAGGGTTAAAGTTGGAGAATTAATAACAGAAGTGCAGGATATCCTTCACGGTTTTCAGGAAGAATGGGTGTGGGATAAAGGAGATTGGCAATGTGCTGATTTCGCCTCTGATCTCTTATCAAACGAGATGACTATTCCAACTAAAATAAAATCTGCTTATCGTAAGTTTAATTTTTTTCCTTTTCTTGTATGAACCGTTACCTCATCTGCCAGCATAAAAATGCCGGACACCATGTGCACACTTTAATGGGCAGACTAAGGCCACTAGAACCCAGAATGGATCGGCGACCATTCCAAGCGGATACATGACATGATAATACATACCTCAAACATGGTAGAGTAATTATAATCAATGTAATACCTAGTCTTAGTCCACACCTGATCCGTTGAAATAAAAAGGCAGTGCTGATATTTATAGCCTGATCAAACTGAAACATAATATAAACAATTACTAAATACTATGCTCAGACTAATAAAAATAGCTGCTTAATATGTTAAGATGCTCTACTGGACTTGACATGATATTTTGGACTTCACCGGTACAACCGGAAATGGTTTAACATGGAACTGGTCAGACATGAATTTACTGAACTGAACTGGACTCGGAATTTAACTGAAAATTGAACATAAATATGAAACGGAACCATAAACATGAAATCATGACTTAAACCGGTCTGAATCGGCCGGTTTAGGGTCTGGCCGGACCGCCGGCTCGCTGCAGCCGGCCGATCAGCCGCTGGCTGGCCACCAGCACGGTTGTGTGTGCGCACAAGGCGCGACCTGAGACTACTGGGCGCTGCTGGTGCTGGCTTGCACTGGCTGAGTTAGGTCCGTGCGCTGGCGGGTGCAGCTGGCACCGCGCGTGCACTGGGACTGGCTGATGAAGGATCATGTGTTGCGTTACCCTCGACTTGTCTCGAACACAGCTTCGCCACGGCCTTGCTCTCGACGATAGGTGTGATCGACTCGGTTATTAGCCTAACTCTCTCACGATACTTGAGTTCACTCGAGTCTTAGCCTCGCTCCCTCGGTTTTGAACTGGCTCGGGTTTTAGTCTCACCAATTCGATTGCATGATCGAACTCTCACGAATCCTATCACACGGTTTCGAACAAACGTTCTTTTCTATTTCATCAAATCCAAGACCTCCTTAAAACAATGAGGGATGCTCCCTATTTATAGATCCTAACTATGACTAATTCTAATCTACCTAGGAAACTTATTAAAGCAATAAAATATTAAATTCCTAGACAATCTATATATTATTGTGCAAGAAGGAAACTGAATATCTAGAGTCATAGTTAACTTGATTGTCTTGATCTTGCTTGGCTTGCACTCCAAACAATTCTAACTTATGCCCAAGTCTTCGGCCGCCCTTCTTCGCGCACCGCCTCGTCGCTACTCCTTGTCGCGCGCGGCAACCCGCGCGCGTGCCTCGCATGTCGCTCGCTCGCCTAGTCCTTCACGCCTTAGGCTTCGCACGCCTGAACTCCACGC